CCCCCCCCCCCCCCCCCCCCAATGCCTTAGCTCAAGGTCTTGATCTGCCTCTGAATACTAGAGGGGAATTGTGGCCCAATAGTCAGTGCACTGGGACAGGTTCAAGTACTCACTAGGGTTATTGTACTGTGTTCTTAACAGCAAGACACTTTACTCTCATAGTGGCTCTCTCCATACCACCCAGGTATATAATTATAAATGGGTACTGGAGAATTTAACTCCTGTGATTGACCCTGCAATAGACTAGCATCCCATTCAGCAGAACGCACACCTTCATGCTAAAGAAGCTGGAGGAAATCAGCAGTTCTCTCGGTCTGGCCCACTAAAACTCTAACACTGACATAACCATACCTTTCCCTTAAACTCTACTTACCACTGAGGAGTGTGTCCTGTTTTGGTGTTTTGCTCTGTCTGATGCATTAGAGAAGGCTTTATTACACCCTTCCACCTCGCATACATATGGTCGCTCTCCAGTATGTGACCTGAGATGGGTCTTGAGGTTCTCAAGTCTGGAGTAAGCCTTGGTACATCCATCATACTAGACAAAAGAAACACAAGATGAAGACAATGACTGCAGAGATTCTGCTCCTTGTCTGCTGCAGTACTTTTTAAAGGGTAAGCCTTGTTACAGCAGATCATGCAACCTTCAATATTTCCAAAACATTGTGAGGCAGACAGGTAACAAGAGGAAAGTAAATAAGGTTAACTGGGGGGACTAGATTGACTTGTGACAACTTATTCTCAATAGTAGCATTAAAAAGGCAATTATGGCAATCATTACTAGAAATTGATTTTTGACCTGGGGAATTAGGTTATCTCACTGATGATAAGTTAGTTTTGAACTAACTGGAAGTATGACAGTTGCAGAGTATGACTCACAAAAAAAAAAAAAATGACGTGCTGGACATTTTGACTTACAGTACATTTATGGGGCTTCTCTCCAGTATGACGGCGCATGTGTACAACCAACATATATTGAGCCTTAAAGGGCTTCTTCTCTCTAGTGCAGCCATCCCAGTAACAAGTGAAGTCCTTGCGATCTTTTTTGATGTGATCACTGTTGACATGCTTGACAAGATCATCTTGTGATTCACACTGCATTTGACATTCTTTCCAGTGACATGTCATATCATGCTCTTGATCTTGCTCAGCTTGATTCTCCTCACCTTCATTATCTGAACCTTCCTGCTGTAGATGGAGGGAACATTTTTTTTGATAAACGTGATTAGTTTCCTGGTTTGGGTAAACTCTAGACCCTTCATCAGCCTCCTTTCAGGACAATGATTGTCTTGGTTTAGTCAAAGGTTCAGCTGGTGACAATAATGAGACAATGCAAAGGCTGACCATTGATATTTACAGACTGTGAAAGGCTAATTTACACATGCCTGTCAGGTGAGCCATGGTTAATCCAGTCAACATCTCAGTTTACAGTGACTCACAATATTTTTGATATTTGTACTCTTTCTTTGCAGAGTGCAAGTGTATTTGAATGCACTAGCTATTAACATTTCACAATGTGGCTTTGTTAAAGATGCTATCTCTTGTAAACTTATACCTTGTTATATACATGATAATTCTCCCACCCAAAGGATTTAATAAATAAGAGGCTAATATTGTCAGTTATCTAAAGAAAATACTGCCACAGGTCAGGCCTGTAAACAAAATTAAGGTAAAATATCAATAAACACAGAAACTAAATTTTCTGCATGAGTCATAAATTTCAGTTATTACAAACAATAATTGATGAATGGAACTGCAGACTTCAGGTATGTTTTGTGTTTATTAATTTGTCCTAATCCCTGCAGAAAGGCTTTTTTATCTTTCTGTTTTCAATTTTCTGCCAGTGGGTGGACATCATCATTGTGGAGTGAAGTTTTACATTTGACTCAAGATTATGTGTAACAGTAATGTTAATATTTTATTATCTTTCAAAACTTTCAAAATTGGCAAACCCACATTAAAAAAGTAAATCTTCCATCTAATCTTCTTTTCATTGCCTAACAGCACATATTAATCACCTACCAACAATAGACAGGCTAGTTAATCCGATCAGTTAAAGGTTATCACTGTTATTTGCCAGCTGAGAGAGGGATAACAGTGTAGACATAACATTACGTTTCCCCTTGCAGATCAACTACAGAAACTTAAAGCAACACCTGACTTCTTGCACATATTTCTTTTCCCCTACTTGTATGTATTGAAAAGCTATCATACAGATTGAGAAGTAATCACTACCCCTCGGAAAGCCAGAATTGACAGCTAGTAGAGGGTGTGATGTAACACTGCACTCTATTCAGTCCAGTGGCCTGTGT